TGGGCTTTCTTTTCATGCTGTCCTGTCCCCCCCACCCAAACATAAGTCTAAGCGTTACTCCTTCCATGGCTCTGCCTCAAGGAGGTGTCCACACCCCTCCCAAGACACCCTCTGCAGACACCACCACATCTTTCCCTCACCATTCATAACTTTCTTCACAAGTTCTGAACTTGCTCAGCATCGGGCTCAAAGAACACCACAGGTGTCAGCAGTTTACACAGACTTTATTTTTCACCCACTGGGCACAGGGAAGTCTGGGCAGGCAGAGGTGCCACACCGCCTCCCCTGGTTCCCAGACAGACCATGAGACTTGGTGGTGAGGGAGAGGGGTCCTAGTCCTACCACAGATTGCTATGGGGTTATCACAACACATGATTCTTGGTTCTATTTACACCATGGAGTGTGGAGAGGGTACATTTCTTACACTAAAAATATATACTTTGGAATCTCTAAAACAAAAATATCTCTATCTCTACATGAACCCTACTAAAAAGAACATAGAAAACAGGGAAATGTACCAGCACCTCAAGTTGTCCCCTCCCAAGGGAAGGCTGCTCTGCTTTCCACTTGACACCCTTAGTTTGGGAGGGCAGCCATATCTAACCAATCAGACAAATACAGGTAAATAAGAGGGAGGCTCATCATCTTGGAGGAGTGAATATGGAAGAAAGGAGCAGGGAGGAGGATTTTGGCCTCTTTTGCAAAAGGAGTAATTGCACATTCAGTTTGGTACTTGTTTCCAACATTATTGCACATGGGGAAAACCTGTGTGTTGGCGCCAATTGCAAACCTGTGAAGAGAAGCCCCAGCTCTGATTTCAGCTGGGCTCAGAAAAGTGCCGTGGGTGGTTTCTCTCTCAGGAAATATTAATGCCATCAGCTGGAAGAAAAAGCTCTGTATTCCCTGGTGCCGAAAGTGGGTTAGTTTTAAAAATGTCACTCCTGCCCTGGCCAGTAGCTCAGTTGGTTAGAGCGTCATCCCTCTACACCAAGGTTGCAGGCTCCATCCTCAGGGCACATAAAAGCAGCAACCAATGAATGCATAAATAAGTGGAACAACAAATCGATGTTTCTCTCTCTCCCTCTCTCTAAAATCAATAAATTAAAAAAGAATGTCATTTACTTTATTTTCAGAGGATTAGAAACCATTCCGTTCCCTTTGAGCACAGAATCTCCTAAAAGAATTTTGCCTATGGGTGAATCATTCCAGTTTCTGAATTTTCCTACTGAAAAGATTCACAGAACTCTTTTCATGTTTCAAGCGGCGATGGATACCATGACTTCACACCTCTTTTGGTTATGAAAATTAGCCTCCTTTCTGGTAAAGAAATGTTAACTGCATTTCAGAGTCAACTGCCCATTCTCTATAATTAATGTAAGAGACCAAGGGTACCAAGAATCATAAAGAAAAATCCCTGGCTGGGTAACTCAGTTGATTTGAACGTAGTCTGGATACACCAAGGTTGTGGGTTCCATCCCCAGTCAGGGCACATGCAAGAAGCAACCAATGAATGTATAAATAAGTGAAACAACAAATCAATGTTTCTCTCTCTTTCTCCCCCTTCTTCTCTCTAAAATCAATAAAATTTTTTAGACTCAAAGAATAGATTTGGTAGAAAAATTACTTCTATTTGGTTTTACAGTGTCTTTTTCTATTTATACTGAAATATGGATGAGCCCAAGGGCTTGAGAATCCATAGTCCCTCATCCTAAATAAGAAAAAATAACCACAATGTCCCCTTTGCAAAAAACCCCAGAACCGTTCAACCTCCTCACCTCTCTCAACACCCCCAAAGCTGGTGGTGAGCTTTAGAATCTCTGACCAAGAACTTTTCTCCAAGGAGAACTTGAAAGACTGAGGAAAAGGCAGAAGAGAGAGGAAAGGGTGCTTGGAAAGCTGAGTTAGTAAACGGGATAGGACGTGGATGATGTCTCCTTTGGCCAGCCAGGGACCACAGGAAGGACTTCCACTTTATGGGAGGCCTGACAGCTACAACCGAAAGTCAGGAAGGCTGAGAACACTCAGTGCAGGGGTCCTGAATGCCCTGCCAGGATGAGAATCCAAGGAAGACGCAGCATCAAACTGGCAGACAGTGTCTGAAGTCCTAGGAGAAGGTGCTCACTCTCGCAAAAGAGACTCAGAGAAGCCGGTAAAGCAGAGAGGACATGCTGGATTGTATTTCTGATGCGAGTTAAAAGGAAAGCCAGGGACCTGGGGTCAAGCCTTCTCCTGTGCTTCAGGAAAACGTGGAGACTCAGATCATGGACGCTGAAATCAATGGAGAAGATGCAGGGAGAACTGCTGACTATTCTAAGAGGAAAGTCTGGAGAGTTGAGTGGATAGAAAATACAGTAGAACTGGGAATCATCTGTTTTAGATGACCAGAAACCAGATTCCTAGCATCAGAGACCTCTTGAAGGTCACAGTGGTCATAGCCTGAGATGTCAACCCAGCCTGAGACTTAGCATATACCATATTTTTACCAAACATTTATGACTAAATTGCCCTGGCTGGTGTGACTCAGTTGGTTGAGCACTGTCCTGTGCACTGAAAGGTCACTGGTCCAGTCCCCAGTCCAGGTGTGTGCAGGGGGCAACCATTCAATGTTTCTTTCTCGCACTGATGTTTTTTCCCCTCTCCCCCTCTCCCTCCCTCTCTCTTCCTCTCTAAAATCAATAAAAACATATTTTAAAAAAAACATTTATGACTAATTTAAAAGCAAGTCATATCCCAAAGAGAAACAGCAAATGTTCACACTGTCTTTTGGAAATATGTGATTCACTACCCCCCTATCCTAAAGGCAAATTTATATGACTAAGGAGACAGGGATAGGAGCTGCACGTGGTAAAGACCAGATCTCCTGATTATTCCATCATCTGAAGTCTGAAATCATATTAGCCACAAAGAGCTAGCCTGCATTTTATGCAACCAAACATATCTGGCAACTTCCAGCATATTTCTGCTGGTTTTCACCTTCTCTCCATTCCTTCCCTAAAAGTCCTGGGCTAAACTCCAGCTGGTGTGTCCCAGGGGTTAGAGCATCAACCCACAAACCAAAGGGTCGCAGGTTCGATTCCCATTCAAAGGCAGATAGCTGGGTTGCAGGTTTGATCCCCAGCCCTGGCTGGGGCTCATACAGGAGGCAACCAATTGATGTTCCTTTCTCACACTGATGTTTCTCTCTCTCAACCTCTCTCTCTGTCTCCCTCTCACTCCCTCTCTCTCTAAAAAAAAAAAAAAAGGAAAAAATATCCTCAGGTGAGGATTAACAGCAACAACAAAAAAGTCATGGGCTAGGAAGTAACCCACTCTCTTAGCAATGCCAGTTCTTCCTCCCCCTTACAACCAAGATTCCACTCATCATCACTTTCTGAAATTCCTGACCTCTGTACTACCAGCCTGCCAACACTCAACTGAAATCTGCCCTTGTCGTAACAGGTGGACTGCTTCTCTGGCCCAAGCAAACTGGGGCACAGAAATCACGTAACTAACTGCCTTGCTTTTCTACCCCTAAGTCAGTTTCTCACCCTTTTCTATAGACTAATCAGTCTATATTTATCCTCAAGCTATTCTACTGGAGAAGTCTGAGAGGGGAACCCCTAGATGGGGGAATGATCATATTATTTTGATGTCCCTACAGCTTAGGTGCTCCGGCAATGTTTAATAGCAGCAATGAAAGCTTACGGATCAACTTTCATTTGTTGATAAGCACACATGCATATGCGCACGCACACACACAATCTACTGCTGCTGTTTCACCTCCACTCACAGTTTGCTACCCCACACACAGTGCACCTTGACCCTGCCACCAGAGTCACCGGCTACAGACCTGAGCAAGGAAGCAACCAGGACTGAGATGGAGTGTTTGGTGGGAGCTGGGAGACAGGAAAGAATAAGAGTAGGGAATGATGCCTATCACTAAGCTGTAGCACATATGAGTCTGGCTATTGTCTGAGAAAAATCTAATGGCCTAAAAATATTGGAACAGCCTTCAAAAGCAGCTAGTGTTCCTAGGGCACAGTAACTTGGGAGGGTCTGGCTTGGCAAGGACTCAAAAACGCACATGTGGCCCTGTAACTGCTCTGCACGGTTAACGAAGACAGATTCCCTACTCTGAGGAAGCCTAGCAGACACAAGGCATCACAAGACATCAGCATATTAGGAGAGAGATTTTTCTGAGTGATAGTCACCCAGTTTTGATGCATGAAGGGCTTTTCCCTGTTACATTCCTTACAGCCACGCTGAGGCTAGGGAACAGGTGAAGCAGTCACCAACCTCCCTACACAGAGGTGGCAGGTGAAGATGGGAGGGGCAAGATGGAGGGAGTGCGCAGGGGTGTTCTCTGGAAACAAAGGTGAGAAAGAAGGCAAGCTCAAGGATGCATCCAGAGAGGGACAGGGAAAGCTAGCAGAAAAGCTTTTCCTGTAGGCAGGCTGCCTTTTGATTTTCTAGATTAGGTAGGTAAATGGGCATAATTATTACATTTATCCTAAAATGATAAAATATGAAACTTTGGCTCACAAAGATTTTAATGCCCATATAGTTCAAAAAATTCCGATTCCTGTCTGCACTACATGAAAGGAAGTCGAGGCTGTCCCTAAAACAGCCTTGTAAGTAGAAAAATCAGAAGAATCAGGAAAAGTATCCACAACTCAAAGGGATATCATTTTAACATTTGAAAGCAGTGTGCTGTTCAGCCAATAGATCACGCATATTGCTTGTTTACAGCAGGCATCCGTTCTGAGTGGATGGTGTCCTTCCTATACCAGTTGTTAAATATTTTGAAAATCATCTGTGTATTAAAATAACTGTGGCTCTAAGAGACAGGGAAATATGAAAGAAAAGCAGGACTCCTTCAATATCAAAGGTCCTTAGAGTAAGCCTAGAATACACTAATACATTTTAAAAGTCTAAGGAATGCAAGATTCCATAAAGTTATCTAGCCAACTCTTCATCTATGAAATGAGAGTACACTGAGGGGACATCCCACTACACAAAGATTTTCCAGGACGGGAAACTAGTATGATCAGATTCCTTGGTGTTGATATGCTTGCCAGTAATGTTCTGTGCACAGAGGAAGGGAAGGTCTATACACATTGGAGCCCAAATCATTGATATTCACTGCAACAGAGAAGAGAATAAAACTATAAGTGTAGCTGTACACTAAACACCAAAATTAATTTTACATATACAGTCATTCCCCAATGTGGCTTTTCACATCTGACAGCCAGAACATTTCTCAACCAAAAAAAATCCATGATGATGAAGAAACAACATGGCTGAAGGCGGCTTTGGTCCATTGATGGTTTGCTACTAAGGCAGCTAAGGAGACATTAAGTAAGCACTTAGATATCTCCAGGAATGGAATCAGATGTGCTCTCAAGAGACAGCAGCAAGACACAGGTGTTTCCACAACATGGCCAATAAAAACACCTTATCTTCCCTCCCAGTCACCAACAACTACTATCAAACCTTTCCCAGGCACCAAGAAAGCAAACACTATGACAAATTTTCCACCCAGGAAGTCCTCCTAGTGTCTAATTCCGTCTGCAGCAATTTAAGTTCAGTCTCTTACTCTATCCTGAAGGAAACCAAGAGAAGCTACTCATTCTCACTTATCATTATTGATTTCCCCCCGGAGCCTTCCCTACCTAAGCTAAACAACTCCAATGTCCCACTTGGCTCTTTTATCATCTGAGGTCCTTGCTTAGTTATGCAAGCTGCTGCTAGGGAACCATGAAGGTGCACCCGGGTCAGAGGTGTCTTCTGGCTGTGGTGAGCACTGCCAATGCCCTGGCTGCTGACTCTCCTAGTAGCCAATCCTCCTGACAGCCTCTGACTCTGACCAGCATCCTCTTGGCAGGCAATCCAACCAAGGTCCAGGGTCCTAACAGCCTACAGACACTCTGGGACTGGGGAGCCTTCCCTTTCCTCTCTGCTCTGCTCCCACTCCTTACCCCTCCTTTAGGAAGAGGAACCTCACTGAAGGGATCTGCAGTGACAGAATGGGTCCTATGTTTTGGCAGGCCAGCAGAGTTTCAGAGAAAATGTCTGGAAGCTGGGAAGCTGGGTCTTCAGTGGTGGCAGTTTCGAAGAGAAGAGAAGCGAGAGGAGAAGTACCAGCAGGTGGTCTTCTGCTTCCACGGTCCCATCTGGCTGCTGGTATGGGGACAGCTGGGTGCCCTCCAACACACACCATGAATAACTGAATGCTTCAGCATGGCTTTGACATGACCAAGGACAGGGCCAGACTTGGTCTTGCTGCTTGTCTGACAGATTCACCATCTTCTCTGTAACCAGACTTTCCTGAGGCACCTCATGGCCCAAATCTTCCATCTCGGCAAAGATTTTAGTTGAAGAGACTAAATAAAAGTGTTACAATTAGACAAAAAGGGAACACATGATTCATTCCAGCTTTTAAGACAATACTTTGAAGATGTCACCATAATTTGGATCTGGCTATATTTTCAGTTCATTGACAAGTAGACTAGTTCTCAACTAAAAATAATCATGTGAGTTATACATTTCAACAGCTGCCTGGATTTTCCTCTGAAGGAAAGAAGACTCTATATTTCACTCACATTCAAGCACAGATTTATTTTAACCCATTCAATAAAGAAATAACCAGTTTCTCCTCAGAGCAGCCTTATGAGTACAACGGTTATGACCATTCCCATTTTCCTGCCGAGTAAACTGAGAGCCAGAAACAGTGGCCTGCCAAATTGCAGGAATTAATAACTGAGCTAGGTCTCTTCATTGCTAGTCTCCTTTTTTTTTTTTTTTTTTAACTAGGAAAGTTGCCTTTAATAAAACCTAAGAGCTTCCCTTCAGTTATCTGCCTACTTAAAGTTAAGTGGTGTTTGGACTAAATTATTCAATTTGGGTGCATGGCCTACCTCACTGCAGGCAAAGATGCCTCAAGTCCTTCCATTTTCTCCATTAACCTGATTAAATTTGATCTATGCTATTGGCAAATGATATACAGAATTTAGTTTCCAAAATAATTCCAGCTGCAATTTAATACTTCAAAATCTTTTCTTGGCAATAATTCTCATTATGGAATTGTATCAATACTATCAACACTATATGAATATTTTAGCAATTTCCCAGTTTGTGTGGTTTCAGTAACCAGAGAAATGCTCTATAGATTTTGAAATGAGGACTGGAAAGATTAAGGGAACTAAATAGGTAAAGCAAATTTATATCCCCAAATAATTCCATCCTGACTTTGGACCTGTATAAATGGGCAGCTCAAAATGGCATATCTGTTCAAATAGTTAGAAAACATTTTTATTTTACTTAGGCTTGCAGTCATTCTTGTGGGGTTAGTAGCAGTCCTGGAAGGGATATTTGTTAGACAAATTCAATTTTACAACTAAAATATCTTTTACTTTCAACATGATTGCTATTTTTAAAAGCCAGAAATAAAAATCAGCAATTATAGTTCTCTTTACCTCTTTTCCTTGGTATTTCCAGAATTCATACTGAGAGCTTTCCAGACCGTGGTTTTAGGCATTTCATCAGATATATTAATCTCAGAGGGGTCACATCTGAAATGAATACTTAGAACAGTAAATTCCAGACATACAAATAAGATACATATCTTACACTATACTGACCACCACCCACCAGAAGGGAAAATATGAGGTCTGAAGGAGCTCAACTAAGAGCTCTTAGGAGGACTGGGAACCAGACAGTCGGAATGTAGAGAGGCAAGGTGACCCTTGAGGTGCTTGCTGCTGAGGGCTGGGCTGGTGTGCCAGGTGGTGGCCAGCCCTGCCCCCACAATTCTGCACTCCCTCGAGGGGCCCCTCTGGGGTTGCTGATGTCAGTGCTGTAATGCCAATGGCGGTAGCATCAGGAGCTCCCACTTACTGAGTACTTGCTGTGTGCCAGCCACAAGGCTAAGCACTCTTCATTCATTTTCTCACTTACTTGGTCAAATGTTTTCCATTTGTAGTTAACAAAGGACTTTTATAATATATTATTTTAACTATCACAGATTCAGAGATTATTAACATCCTCATTTGAAGATGCAGAAACCAAAGCTCCCAGGGCTAACTGACCATCCAAGGTCAAATGCCAGTAAGTGGGGAATCAAGACCTTGAATCCAATCCTTGGTTTCCTAGAAACCCAGAGTGCTCTGAAGTTTTCTACAAGCCACGCTGTATCCTTTCAAAAGGCCAAGAGAGGAGGCAGCATCCTAGTAGAGGAGGAACATTGCTCCTACTTTGCCACCAAAGATTCAAAGCCTATGGCTCCTTCTAGAACAGCCTGTAGAAAGTTTATTAAAGTCCAAAGATTCCACTTCTTTTGGGGTCAGTTAAAAAGTCAACCTCATAGTAACATAGTAACAGGGAGTAGAATGGTGACTACCAGAGGCTGGGAGATGGGGGAAAAGGGAAGATGCTGATCAAAGGGTACAAACTTTCGGTTATAAGATGAATAAATTCTGAACACCTATGAACAGCATGGTGAACACAGTTAATAATAACATATCGTACATGTGAAATTTGCTAAGAAAGTGGATCTCAAGTGTTGTCACCACAAAAAAAAGGAATGTTAACTATAGGAGGTGATGCATATGTTATTAGTTTGATTGTAGTAATTATTTCACAATATATACATATATCAAAATATCATGTTGTACACCTTAAATATATACTAGTTTTATTTAAAACTAATATATATTTATTTTTAATTTTTAAAAATGTTTCATTATCTTTATTGTTGAGACCAATACAGATGTCCCCCTTTTAACCCCACTGATCCCCTCCACCCCACATCCATCCCACCCCCAGGCCCTCCTCACACCAATGTCCGTGTCCATGGGCCATGCCCATAAACTAATATATTCTTAAATAAATATATTTTAAAGCTTTTAAACTTTAAAAGAAAAGTCTGTCCTCACTTCCCCCTCAGTATAAACCACAATCAATTCAATGATTCAGCAATAAAATATCCAGGATCTAGATGACCCAAATCCTCTTTCTTCCATTTCTGCCCCTTCGTGACCTCTGGGCTTCTTTCAGCTTGAATGTATCTCTTCCATAGTGGAAACAAAATGCCAGGAATGAAACCACAAATGGACCTATTTAGCTTCCTGTGACTTGTGGTGAGCAATAGCTTCAACAGAGAAAGGGGCTGAAATCACTGGCAGAAGTAAGGAGTTTCTGTGACCCATTTCAGTTCATGGGACTATAGATGCCATGAGCCAAGCTGGAATGGGCTATCTCTGCCCATCCCCAAAGGCTTGCCCAAGCTTGGGAATTTCATGCCCACCAGGTTGAGAACTCACTGAAAACAAAGACCACTTCCTACTCATCTTTGGAAGGTAACAGAGAAAGGCAGAGGAAACACTGGGCTGAGGAGTACAAAGACGAGGAGTTGAATCTTAAACTTTCTACTTAGCAGCATTGTGACCTTGGGCATATTGCCTAAAATCCTCCAAACCTCGGTTTCCTCACTGTACAAATGTGGATAGTGACACTTATATCAGAAAGCTGTTGTAAAGATTAAATGAGAGAACATAGTAAACCTTCTAGCACAGTCCTGGCACAGAGAAGACACTCAGTACATGGGCTCCGTTAGCTCTGTCCTTGTGATTCCCAGCACTGGTCTAGTGCCTCACACAGGGCAGGTCCTCAGTGAACCATGAAAGGAAAAGTTGTTTTCCACATT